AACAAACAAACAAACAAAACCTTTAAAATTACAGACAAAGAACATAGGTGCTTTGAATAGTTTTGTGCAAATTTCAAAAACAAACAAACCGATTTTCTAACGACAAAGTCAGCTCTCGGTTCTTAATTGTAGGCAATAAAGAGAAATATTATATAACACTTGATATTCAAATTTATATAAAACAGTCCGAATAATGAAGATTCTTTAATCACACTGTATATATACTTTTATACCAATACCACACAGAAGGAGGGGTGGACCAGTAAGCAGTATATGGCTGAACATACTTTTTGCAACAGTTTTTATTTGCACAGATTTTAAGACAGATTAATATTTGCGGTTATGATTATAATTCTCAACAACGACTAATTGCTTAGGAAGTACAGACAGCACCAATATTTCCTGACTGGTTCAAAAAATTTTCAAGACAAGTCACTCCGCCCCAGCTTACAATGCTAAAAATTGTATTTCGATACCTGGGGTAGGCAGAGCACAGATAGACCATGTGTAGCTTTGCGCTTAACAACAACCAACGAGTCATCCTTGGTGGTACATACAAATAACATACATATTCTATAAAAGCAAGTATAAATCGTTATTTATATTTTAAATAAAAAATAAAGATAAATAGTAGTTGTTGGTTAATTGTACTTAGAATGTGTAGTTGTAGATAGACAAAACAATACTTACGGTTCTTTTATTTTGGTTTTTAATATCTTTAAATACATATGATTTTTATGTTATGAAGAAAACTGTGTACCATTAATAATATGAAAAGAAAATTAATAGCTAATAGCGTATTTTCAATTCAAATATCTAATAATTTAAATGATCAAAAATAACTAATTGTGATATACACATGTGGGAGCGTGTGACGTCATATAGTGAGCTAATGCACCCAAATGTCTGTGTGAAAGTAAACATCTGAATTAATAATATAGTATTAAGCATTACTAGTATAACTTATTTCATATACATTATAATACAAACCAGAAAAATTAAAATACTATACTGAAATTATTGGAAATGAATAAAGCAATAATCAATTTTTGTTGTTTTACCTAGTTTCTACTAGGACTAGTTTCTGTAAGTTCAAAGTGAATTGTAAATGATAAAATTAAAATTGTTACTTTTTTATTTCTTCATTATGAAGAATTGTGTATTACATTAAATGTCTTTTGGAAGGCAACTAATATATAGATATGATCAAAAAATATAATTTATTTTTCATGATTCATGCTTCAATGTATCTGTTATAAAACTAAGAAATGGAAGGTCGTGTTTATAAAATTAGAGTATAAAACTGTAGACACGTATGCAGCACTGTGCTGTACGTTCGTACAACATAGTTTCCATCTGAATTGGCGAACAATATCATGGGCACCATTCCAAACGCCTTCTGAGACTGCAGTAAAAGACGTCATGTATTTCCACCAATCATAGTTCTCAAGAGGAGAGTGAAATAAAGCTATAAAAGCCGTGGTACAGACAACCCTCGCATATTAGTTCGTTGAGAGTTTCGTTACTCAGCTCGCCACGAACGTTTAGCATTACTCATTTTTATAGTCTTCCTTTGTAAAGAAGAATTTATCAGCCAAAATGGTAAGAATTGTTTATTTAACATTTCTTTCTGAGTTGTATATAATAAATTTTATAATCTACTATTTATTTTATGTAGAGTGGTTCAGAAACTCAAATGCTTCAGAAGATTGGTGTCTTTTTCATCAGAAACAAACAGGATGAAGAACAATTTAATTTCTAAACGGGCAACTTTATGAGTTTAGCAAAATGGAGGAAGTACTCGGACTTTTAGTTTTAAACCATTGTTTTTTCAATCGCGCCATATTAACAATAAACGGCCGTTATCTCGTAATTTTGTTGGAATTAAAAAGTTGGGTTTTTTTATTTAGCTATTTTTCATGTAAAGATCGCGCCCAGTGTCTTTCATATTTAGTTTACTAAGTACTTCGCCTGCGTCTATGTAAACAGCTAAATTAAAATTGTATGTATGTTAAATATGATCGTTTAAGATTGATATTCATCGTCAGTGTTTAAAATGTATTTTTTACATACAATGATGGTACTCGGTTATGATTAATACATATATAATATAGTATACCGTCAGTGTCCAATTTATATTTGTTTATTACGCGTGTATACCATTATAAGGTAATTTTAAACTTTTTTTAAATGGTCCACACGCGTTTATTTTCAGGAGTAACTTGTGGATTATGAATTATTGTTAAACTTGCCTAACTTCGAATTTGTATCATTAACTTTTTATTTGATTTATTTTTATCATTTAAGCACGAACATATTGAAATATATAAAGATGTTTAAAAGCAAGTTAATGATTTACATGTTATGGAACTTGTACTGAACACCTCATCTGCCGGCGCATGTGCACGGCAAACGATGATTGGCTGATTTTCGACAGTAGCAGTATTAGTGTGCGCTGACGCATCTAAACTACGGGAGTGATGACCCCTCCTCAGTTACATGACTCAAAAAGCCTGCTATTTCTGACCAAATATGGAGTGTTCGCTGGCGCGCAGCCGCTAGCAACTTAGTCAAGCTGGCAGAACACGAGGCTCGTCTACAACCGGTTTCCATGATTCCATCCTGTACACGTGGACCGGAGGGCAACAGTCAGTCACGTATCTTTTTCTGCAATTACACTGACATCATGTGAGCACGTCGCCGTAAAGCATTTCACATTATTATTATTTTTTTATTATGTAAGTGAATCCCCAATCTTCGAAGTGAGGATGTAAGTCAGTCCGTCCGGAATTTAGGGAAAACGATGAAACATACACTGCCCATGTCTTGTAAAACTGTAGTTTATTTGAAATAGTTTAAGAACTCGTAGTTATTTCCAGTGTATCAATTGAAATAAAGTATTTCAAAACTAGTATATTAGATTGAATGGATCCTCTATAATCTATTGTGTATCTCGTCTATACTGCTATCTGAAATGCCCGTTAAACGAATGGGGAAGATATAGATAGGTCAGGTTCGTCCCCCCCCCCCCAAGTATGGCACCTCTCGGTGGGGGATCTAAAGTTATATGGAGGTTAGTGATCCAGCGGTTTGCCAGTTTCAATCGAACACTCGTACAAATAAGTTATGTATGTATATGTCACATTCAGAGTCCAGAATGTTTTTTTCCCACTTGGTAGCGTCCATTTTTTTTTATATAATAGCCTCAACAAAAGTTTAACTTTAAATCTGAGAATCGCCTACGAAAGTGGTAATCTAATAATTTACAAATTTCACTTAAAATACTTTTTGATAATAAATTAAGTTTTCTAGTACACATACACAAGGATTATTTGCATTACTGTACACCAATATGAAAGAATCGCGTATTTTTCAGTGTGGAAGACTCGTGTCTATAGTGTAGTAATGTAAAATTAGCACTACATAATATACGTGTAACTCAACCTAGAGTGTCTGGAATATACGTGTAACTCAACCTAGTGTGTCTGGAATATACGTGTAACTCAACCTAGTGTGTCTGGAATATACGTGCAACTCAACCTAGTGTGTCTGGAATATACGTGTAACTCAACCTAGTGTGTCTGGAATATACGTGCAACTCAACCTAGTGTGTCTGGAATATACGTGTAACTCAACCTAGTGTGTCTGGAATATACGTGTAACTCAACCTAGTGTGTCTGGATAGGTATCCGGTCTTTGGGGCACGACCTAGAAAGATGAGGTTCTATTCGGACCTCTTCCTCCCAGTACTTTATTGCAACCTAAATTTTTCATTTTTAAAACTTTGCGGTTCTTTACATGAAGCTAAACAGGGGGTAATGGCCGTGTGAAGGAAAATAACTATAGCCACGCACGTGTAGTTTAACTGTTGTAAAAAGCTTTACGTGAAATAAAAAAAGTATTAATTGACCATATAAAGTAAAGAAAGAAAACTAGAAGTTTGCAGCGAGAGTGTATCAGTGTCCACATCGGTCAGGCTGGCGTCCAGATTGGTAACTCCTGCTGGGAGCTGTACTGTCTTGAGCACGGCATCCAACAAGATGGAAACATGCCTAGCGATAAGGCCATGGGCTCCGATGACTCCTTTAATACCTTTTTCAGTGAAACGGGATCCGGAAAACATGTACCTAGAGCGGTGTTTGTAGATCTAGAACCTACAGTTGTTGGTGAGTATTTCTACCCATGGTGTTAATGCTATCTGCAGTACTTTCATATCAAATTCAAAGAATAAATCTACTATAATTGAAGTATGACTGGTTAGTAATATAAAATATTCAAAGAATATATTTAGATGTAAATTATTGAATTCCATTCTAAATGGTACACAGTAATTGGGAGGTACAAGCCAACGAGTCCCTCAGTGGGGACAGGGTAAGCTTACCGACTTACAATGCTAAAATTCGAGGTTCGATTCACCGCAGTGGACACAGCAGATGCCTCAATGTGGCTTTGCTCTACAATAAATAAGCCAAAAAAATAACTGATTTTTACCATCAGAATCACTCCATTTTTTTTTCCCTCAAATATTTACCCACGTTTTTTTTTAAGTTCATAAAAAT